AGAATTGAAAATCCACAAATCTAGCCACTCACCGGCCCGGATTGCCCTAGCGGCCTATAATGCATGTTCTGGGTTTCGTGTCCAACGGATGAAAAATGGCAAAGAAATTCGCTGTTGTTTCCCAATAACGGAATTGGCATTGAATTCATACTCCGGAGGTTGTTGAACTACAAGGGCAGCAGGAAGCAGATGGTGGGGGGTGTTGTTTAGAGTGGTACATTCCTCTGTGTCGAACGGGCACCTAACGACCCGAATCGACTGTGGGGTTGTTGTAGTATAAAGCAAAATGTGGTCCCGGTCCGGTCCCAAAATAAGGATTTTACTCACACATGTCGTCGTTGGTGACGTCAACACCCACCGACAGCGATCAACATCCTCCTGCAATACCATTTTTTGGTTTGGAGGTTTCTCTCATTGCTCGCAACTCTCAAGGATATGCAAAACAGGATAACTGTGCATTGGGGACTAGATAATACATAGGTGGCCAGCTTCCTAGGGTGGCCAGCTTCCTAGTCAGGTATAGTATGTCCCCAGGCTACTGGGAGCCTGACACTTCAAGTCAAATAATATGCTGATTTATCATAAAAACCTTATACTTGAGTCAGAGTTGATTCCTTATATGGATGCACTGCAAAGTATGCAGCAGAATCCACTCCTTTAGGCAAGTTTTTGTTGGCATATGGTGATTTAGATACAACTTTGCAAATTAGATACAACTTTTCACCCTGTGTACATGTACAAGTCAACCTCAAAGACAGCTTTTCTAGTGATATGTTTTACTCTGGGTGGGGACAACTTTATACTTGATCACAAATTTTCTAGAGACATCTTCAACTTCTGCAAGTGCAACTTTTCTGACTACTGATAACCCATAATAAGCAGACAACTTTCTAGTAACATCTTGAACTTTCTTGAATACAACTTAGTTTTTCATTTTAAGTACAACTTTTTTAAGTGCAACTTTCTTTCTGAGGTACAACAAGTGCCACTTCAACCTAGACTGGAACAACTTTATAAATCACAACTATACATGTTGCCAAAGTCTCTGGTACAACTTTTCTGGGCCTACATACAACTTTTTTCAGGCAAGGCACAACTTCAGTTACTCCATCAGAGGCCATCAGAGGCCATCAAAGGTGATTGTAAATGCAGTGGTGGAGCAATGCATATTTAACATATTTATCTGATTCACTGATGATATCAGTGATGGCTGGCCAAAAAAGTCCAAGTTACATTCAAATAAGCTGTATGCAGCAATAAAGTTGTACTAGGAAAAGTTGTCCAACTGGCTAGTTGTATGCCCAAAACGTTATACTCGGGAAAAGTTGCATTTTGGAAAGCTGTATGCAATGACAGGTTGTCTTTGCTCAAGTTGGACTTGTCACAGCCAGACTCAAGTTGCCTTACCCATAAAAAAGTTGCACTTGAATTAGAGCCAAAGATTGTCAGGGGAAGCCCCCTTTCGGCCCCTCGGAGATGCGTCCGATTCCGGTCCGACTCCGGTTCCGACTCCGGTCCGGCCCTCCATCTCGCCCGCACAATCACCGATCTGTCAACACTCTCCCAATGGTCGCCCTGGCACCTTGCCTGCGACGCCACCCAAGCCTTCTATGCCCGACAGCAGCAGCTACAGACAAGCAGTATATAGTCAGCTATCTAGCAGGCGGACCCTCAGAGTTTCTTCTCTTTGGATCCTCCCCTGCTAGGACCTTGATCTCTGGGGTTTCCCTTATAGCAGAAGAAACTCTCTACGGGATCAACTGGACAAGATTGCCAGGTTTGGTGCTGACTCAGGCTCGGAGTACAAGTCCATCCCGCCCTTGTCCACCTGCGTAACCCGCTGAATACACAACAAACCTTGGTCAGCACGCGCGCTGACAACAATGTGGGCAAGCGCGAGAGACGACTAGTACCTTTGTCTTGACCACATGGATCCTCCCCTGCTAGGACCTTGATCTCAGGCCTCCGGGGTTGCCCTTACAACTATGCCATACAGAACCCTGGCTACATTTAAGTACATTAGTTTATTGAGAAGTGTCTCATCACCCTGTAGATTACCATGATGCTTGTTGTATAGGTCTCAGGGCAAGTTGTTTATAGCTCTATTATCTTGCACTCTGAGATCACAATTCGACAATGAGCTCTTCAAAGCTGGAGGCTGACAATTTGACTGTGTTCTAACAATACATCACAACTGGGATGTGTTCTGGTCCTAATCTAGCCAATCAGCATCAATCATGTGTTTCATTGCATGCCTACTAGCCACCAATTACTAACGGTATCATACTGGAATCAACAGTGTTTGAAACATTCAACTTATATACCTATCTATATCCCACTGTAGGAGCTCACTTATGCCATGAGACTTGGTGCTAATAATAACAACAATAAGTTGCTTACCACTTCAAACACTTCTGTGGCACTAAATACTTAAAGAAGTCTGTTGTATTGTTTGCTATGTTTTCACTTGTTTGATTTGTTGAAACAAGAGATGCAGAGCATGAGCATGGGACCAATCCTGTAATATAAGGCAAATCCTCCTGGGAAAAGGCAGATCTGAAAGCCTGAATATTTGTTGAAAGATCTATTTCACTAAGTCTGGCAAAAACAAGTATCTCATAGTGGATGTAAATTTCTATATCATCTGCAGATAGTGGAATTTGACCCTCAGGATCCCATGCCCAGAGGTAAAGATTTGTGTCTGATGGAACTGTAACAGACCATGTAGATTGATAATTTTCAGGCTGTATAGTCTTCAAAATCAGGTATATTTCTGCTGTGCAAGCATCTGACATAAAGGTTCCTGCTAATGAGTAGTCATTCCATGTTTTAATAACATGAACTTGCAGCTCAACATCTGTAGTAAGATCCACATAATTTTAAATAATGAATTGGCATCAATCTGATAAATACCTACATGCTGTTAACCTTGATAAGAAAAATTTCCACAAAAGCCACTATTGACCTACCAGAGGTAGAATGAATATGATTTATGGCAACAGATATTGCCTCTTGTACTACCATTGTCTTAGGTCTGACAAAACCAATTGATGTACAGAAATGCACAATATCACAAGCATCAGAATTCATATCTGATAGCGCAACACTAATCATGTTAGGTAAATTTAATGCATTTGTGCAGACATACCAGGTGGTATTGTCATTTGTCTTTTGTTCTAATACTGTGCAACAAAACCAGCCATGAACATCTGGAGATATTGTTTGATATATCTTTAGGTGGTCAAGAGCTGGGGTGCTTCTCTGCAGGGAGTCATATTGGTATAATGCAAGGAGGGGAATATTAATGTCTTGTACAGGATTCATTGTAAATGGTCTGGCTTTCATAAGAAACTGTAAGACACTTGGTGTAGAAGTTATCCATTTGGTTGTTTCAACTGTTGGGAAATCAAAAACAGGTCGATTCATGGCATCCCCATAAACAAGCTGGCTCTTCAACCAGAGACCGGAGATATTTTGTGGGCCAAGCTCAATTTTCAATTGTCCTGAAGAGGGGCAGAACCATTCCATGTACTGAGTGAATGTCCAATCATAGAGCCAAATGTTTAGATGCTTCCAAAGATACTTATTTGCAGCCTACAAGATATGAGTAAGCAAATTCAATTAGGGTTAATCCAAACCTCAAAGAAATATGCCTGCAGCTGAATAAGTATAGCTAATCAATGAAAAAGAAAAAAAATGAAGGACAATATGCCAATCAAAACTTGCAGCAAGCAATATATTTTGTATGTCTCTCCTTGCATATATATATGGAATCAAATCTAGCTCAAATATAAGGTAGATCTGAATATAAGCTGTAGTCCCTACCTTCATGATAAATCAGAACTCTATTGGACTGGACCTGAGATGTGCCTAGTAGCTTTGGGATATACATCCTGTGCTCTATGAGTTAACAAATATTATGTCATTGTAGGTACATACTCTAGGTCCTGATGCTCAATAGCAGTTCTCTTCCACTAGTTCAAAATTTAGTTAGAAAGGTTACTATGGGATATAGGATACCACATACATTTAGGAAGTCAGAAACCAAGTACTTTACAATCGTAAACTTTTCGGAGCTTGGAAAAACTTTTCCATGATACACAGTTATTTCGCCTGTTTTCATGACCTTAGTCTTACCATTTTTGAGCTTGAGCTTTTTCATCAAGGGAATCGTGGCAATTTTAGGACCATGGCTGATGCGGCCCCACTTGATTATCTCTACTGTTGAGTGTTATGTTAGCATAAAAACATTATTTATATCTGAATTACCATTTTTATTAAACTCAGGTTCAGCCTCAGCTGCTACTGGGTTGGGAGGATGAAACACCTGGGTGTAATTTCCCAAAACTTGAATATGTGTTCCTCCAGAGACATGCTGCACATTATTGAACATGGCTGTCCCATTCAATGCCGGAGGAGTCCTCTGGATAGTAGTATCCTGGGAAGCCTGAACTTGATCAGAACCCTCCATATTGCGTGTCCCCTTGAGTGCTTTCTGCTTCGTGCCAGTGGACGAGGGCTTGGCTGGCAAGTTGGAAGGCTGCGACATGGGGGGGAAAGGTAGGAAGACAAATGCTGTGCACTGGTGTAGGGGTTGCCGGTGTGAAAGTTGCGAAGTATCAGCAGCACACGCCAGTGTCAATTGTTTGGCAGATCGACATCCTTCCTCGGGCCTCAATTTGAAGGGTCGGACCGTGGGGCCCGACTGAGCTTGAGATAGATATACTCGATTCACGTCGATGGACATTGGACAAATTTGCCGATGAGCGCGAGCATCAATCCGAGCGTTGCAACATACCTTGACGAGAGCTTCGGTCTGCGACACCACTACATGGTAGTGATTGTGGCCCTGTGACTGGCGACGGGCCGGGCCCGGCCACTCGTCACACGAAGGTGAGCATCAAGACTGCGAGAGGCGCCCTCCCTAGAAGACATATCTACAGTACTCGTCAAATAATCATAATCAATACATCATTGGCTCTCTATCTGAGCGGTCAATGTCAACAATCGCCCGCGAGGCTGTTCTTCGGCATGCGCTGCCCAAAGTCGTCCGTCCAGGTCGTGTAGTTGGGGTTCGTGTACGCGTCGATGTACCTGTCCATGTCAGCCGGGGCAAGGGAATGCAGCAGACAACGCACGTGTTTATATAAGCCTGCGTGGGCATGTCCCGCGGGTCGCAGCCAACGTTGATCGCGTCGCGCCGCTGGTAGACGCGGATCCAGTCGATGCGCATCGTCGCGGGGAAGACGAGATGCTCGAAATCGATGAACCCGAAGGCGGGGGAGATGCCGAGATTGACAAGGATGTACTGGGGTGAATGATCAGCCCGGACGGAGAAACGGGGGAAGACAAACCAGCGGCTCGTTCGTGATCGGTCGTGCGGAGATGCCCGAGGCGGTATCGCCCCCGACACCACCGGCGTTGAGTGTCCATGCGACTGCGTTGTTGTTGATCCAGGTGATGTACTGCAGGAGTGAGTTAGAGCTGGGGACAAGCCTAACACTTACCGCCTTGTTGAAGCCCGGGGCATATTCAAAGCCTTGTAGTGCAAAACATCCGTCCGCCAGTTGATAGCACGCCTGATCTGCACAACTGTCAAGCACGTCCACGGGGAGCGGGAACCATACTCGTCGTGGAAACGACCGAGGTCGGCTGCTGGTATATCCCGCCCACGTAATTGTTAAAATGCGAGACATCGAGCGACGGGATGATGAGGTTGTCGGAAGTGTTCAGCCAGTGGTACTCCGCGTTGAACGGCTGACGGCGGTCAATGGCCGTAAACAGGCGCGGAACAACTCACCGCCCATTGCGCAGACTGCGAGACCTGCCCGACGTTGACGCCGCTCGCGTCCTCTCCGATCTGTTGCGCCAATAAGTCGCCTCTATAATCAAAACCAAAGCCGGGCATACCTGGGCCTCGAAAACGTCGATCTCCGGCGCCGACCGGCCCACGTAACTACCATCTTTGTGGAACGGGCCCGGATGGGTTTCGCCTCTGCAAACGCAGCGCGACAACCGCTGGCCCGGGAGGAACGACAGCGGGGTGCCGTCGGGGAGGGTTGCGCCGGGCGGGCCCGTCTTGCTGCTCGCCATCGCGGTGAAGGCGTACGACTGGTTCGGCGCAGCACCGATATCACACGCGTCGTAGCTGTATGGCCACTTGCAAGAGGGTCAGTCCAGCAAGTGAGTGAGATGGTGATTGACGCACCATTCCGTCAAGCGAAGCGCCGCTAATAATTTCGATAAGCAAGATGAGCCTGATCATTACAAAGACGCACTATCCAGCCCTTCCCAAGTTGCCCATCGTCCACAACGCGGGCCACAGCCCAAACACGTTGTTGGCGCCGGGAAGCATCACGTCCGCCAGAATGAGCCCGCCTCACGCCCCATCAGCCGGACCAGTAACGCGAGCGAGAAAACGCACCAGTGAAGCAGAACTTGTTCCAGGTACTCATCATCCCGCCCTTGTAGTTCAGTCCGTGGTTCGTCGTCGGGTCCGCCACCTTCGTGAGGTTGATCTCCAGCGCCCCGCCGCGCGTCGAGATCATCGACGGGTCGTACCACTCCAAATTCCCCGTCTGCCAATAATGCAGGTCCACAGCCTCCCTACAAGGCATCAGCTAAACGCGTCAGGCCAGACTTAGAAGTACCAGTAAGGGTCGTCGCCCGGGTAGAAGCTGCGGCCTTCTTCTTCAAACTCGTCGCTGAAGACGAGCTGCAGCGTCTGGCTCGGATCGTGGTACGAGGGCAGCGAGTAGGCGCTCTTGGGCGTATGCAGATCGACAAGGCCGAAGTTCCCGATGCTGGGCACCTGCCCGCTCGCGTTGACGCCCGAAGTCGTGCTGGAGCCGACCAGCGCTTGCCCGGGTTTTGCAGCGGTGAAGTAAAGATGCAGAGGGTACACCAGGCTGAATTATTTGTCAGTCATGGGAACCGGAAATGCGACGTAGCCACGCACAACAGCACCGCCAAGATCGCCACAAGCAGCACCAGGCATCCCAAATTGAGCACCCCCCGCGCCGTAAACACGCTCACGCCTGCGAAACGCGTATAGACACCGCTGAATTTGACCCGCGGGTCGTGCAGCGCGTCGTCGTCTTCGGGGCCGAGATGGAGCGAATACGCAAACGCGTCAAACTAGCTGCATAAGCGACAGACAAGGAGTGAATCAGTGACGCACCTTTTCGGGCGGCGCGGATCCTGGCCGCGACCCTGCGCTGAAGTCGATGCTGCTGTGTTCCGAGCTGCCGCCCATGGAACCCAGCCCTGCTGGCCCGCCGCGGCGATGAGAAGGCCGCGCCACTCCCTCGCTGACTACACTCCCTGCCCGTGGATACCGGGGCCGAAAAGGGACGTCAAGATAGTCCTTGTCTGGCGAAGGAAGTCGGGGTGGGAGGGCGTAGGGTGAATCAGAGTAGTTAGTTGCAGGGGGCAATGCCGAGGAGGTAAAGCTGAATGGTGAGGATGTGGCATGTGGGGTGGGCGGGTCGGCTTGGAGGAGAGACCGGGGCCGCGGGAGTGGCGCGGGCAACGGTCGCGGGGCTTCGAAGCGCATGTCTCCATCCTCTTCCTCTCCGTCCGAATAGTCCGACGGCGGGGAGTGGCTCCGGCTGCGATCGGAGTAGTCGGAGGGTGGCAAGGGCAGGGACGCGTGGGAGAAGGCGGGGGATATGTCTCCGCTGTATCGTGGTGGGGGAGGGAGTAATGAGGCGCTTGAATCCGTCCGCGCATGTGCGTTTCGCGAGCTTGGCTGTGGGCTCATGGGAACAAAGTCGACATCGAAGTCGGTAGAAGGCGGGCGGCTGCTTCCAGTGGAGGGCGAAGGACTGCGCGTTACGCGCAAGCGGGGGCCCAAGGGTGTGGGGGTGGCATCCAACAGTGGAGACGGGGAGCGGCTCGACACGCGCGGCGGCGGCTTTCGCGGGATCAAGCGTGTGGCTGAGCTCGAGGCTGGCGGTAGACTCGAGCCGCGCGAGCGCCTATCGTCGTCCTCGATAGCGAGGGGGTCGTAACTATAGCGCGACATGAGCGGGGGGAATGGGTGGGGAAGGAAAGAAACGCGTTGTCGTCTTACGGCGTCCTGTCGGTCGCCTCGGCAATTTGCTGTGTTTGATCCCGCGGGCGGTTGATGTGTCTGTCGCCGCGTCATATCGAGGCGGAAAGAACACAGGCTGACTCCCGAACGTTCAAACTACTGTCCACTCACATCCTCCGGTCTGAATCGTACACATTCGTTGTGCAGGTTGGCACCAGCTCGGAGTTAGAAGTGGGTGAGTTGACATCAATCTAAGTAATGTCGTGACGCGGCAGTGTGACAAATCGGATTTGTGGAGTCCCGGCGGTCCTGACTGTCCAATGACTGTCCATACTTATGAGTGAAAAAACGCGACTGAGTAGACTGACGCGCACGGCCCAGGTTTTGTGGACCCAAGAAACTGTGACGCAAGCGCGGCTGCTTCGAGCCTTCGACCTGAGACATGGTGGTCCGGATCAAGCTTGATCCTGACCATCGAGGCCATCAATTTGTCAACAACAGACCCCGCACGTGATGGACGCGCCGACAGCCTGGGAAGTACTTGGCGCGTAATTGCTCCTATCTGGCTTGACATTCACACCGGATTTGGTAAAATATCCCTTGAAGTAGAAACTGTGCTAGATTCTGGTAGAATCTAGAACCAAATCAACCTATGGAGATTTGCCCAAAATATACATTTTTGAAACTGAGAATGATTTTAGTCAAATATATACTAGTTTTAGGCAGTCTGAGATGAAAACTATCTATGGGATTGAAACTATGCCTGAAATGGTTGATATCTGTGCACATATATTTGGTCATGATATCACGCACATCAAATGTGGCGAAACTGACAGTGAAACAAAGGATTTCACTGACAGTTTCAGCACAGATGATACAAAGGAAATCAGCAGTGGAGAAATGCACATAGATTCTCTTTGTTTCTATTTACATTTCTCCACTGCTGAAACTGTAGATTTACAGTACAATGAAATCATTGTTGAAATCTCAAATTTATTCATGCCAGAAATTGTGATTAAAACTGTCAGTATATACATTGGAGAAATTGTAAGAGATATTGTATGTATATCAGTGACTTGAGGGTCAACCCTCAAGTTAACCCTCAAGTCAACCCCAAGGGTCTGATCTCCGGGTAGACCCTACAAGTTCAGTCTCCAGCTACATATTTAAATACATAATTAGCATGAATGGGATAACAACTTTGTAATGACTTTACACAAACTTTCTAATAAATGTTACCAGATTGTAGGGACCCTTAATACATGTTACTATTCAGTTTAGACCTATGCTTCAAGGTCAATGGTTGAGTCAGAAAATGCAAATTACTGACCCAACCCTGAGTTTTCAAAACAGTGGTAGGGTCATATCTTAATGAGTTCTTATCCGTTCCTAACATGTTATATATGAGCAGGAAGGTGTTCAATTGGCCTATAAACTGGTATTCAACATAAAGTTCATTGTATACAAAACCACAGACTTTATTACAAAATACATTTTGACTATTAGATTGTTAACCCAATTACTTGATGGTTTCTAGGCTGTTCATCAAAAGTTGGATATGGTCAGAAAGGTATTTCCAAATTCTACAAACTTGATTTCAACCCTGATATGGTTGATTACAAAACCACAGACTTTCACTACAAGTCAAGGTTTATTGAATTGACTTCAAAATCCAAAGTCAACCAAATGACTCCATATTGCACATAGTAGTAGAGCTTCATTGATTGAGTAAGTGTTCAGTTCAAACCTATTCAAAATTTATGATAGTTGACTCACAAAAGGTGAAATACTCCCAAAATATTGGCTTTGTTAGTTTAGGGCTAGCCTGGCTCAAATAGTATTAACACTATATTGTTGTGAATTTCCCCTTCCTGTTCACTGCTTACCACTTGTATGATAGAGCACAGGTACAGGTCTGGGTCTGTTTAACTTGACTCAGACCCTGACCCTGACCCTGACCCTGACCCTGACCCTGACCCTGACCCTGACCTTGACCCTGACTGTCAGGGTTCAGGTTGGGCTGTGCCAGGCTTCTCTTGAGAAACATGTACCCAGAACAGAACAGATGAATTGTCGGGCCATAAGTATGGCGGGCGGGTTCAAGTCGAACCAAAAGGGCCCGTTAAAGTGGGTGTTAGTGTCAAGGGTCAGGTCAGGTTGACAAGGCCCAATGAGTCGGTGTTGACTCAGTGATGTCTCCTTGCATAGGGTGAGGTAGTATAATAGGTGATCTAAGCGATAAAGTACAGTGTATACTATTATACCTTATATATGCCCTGCTGAGGGGTGATCAGACACCCTTGGCCTCTCCTGCTCCTTCCTATATCCCTGTCTCTGGCTGCAGAGAAGATGATTGCACATCCCTTGCAGGCCAGGCACTACTCCTAACATCCTAGCACTCCTTCCTGTTCCTTCATGCTGCAAGTTGGGCTCAGTGCAGGCCCAACACATCTTTCCTGGTCATGTGCTTCCCATATATACATTTCCCTCTACTGTGGTGTCTGTTCCTGTCATCACATCCTGTGTGTTATGGGCCCTTGGTGGCCTGATACCAGTGCCAGAGAGGATAGGCCAGGTCTTATCTGTGACACTGATCCTACCTAACCCTGACCCTACTGGGTAAGGTTGACTTGATCTAGGTTAACCCTCATGTCATATTTGATACAATTCAAAAAGCTCAAACAATCATTATTATATACTACAATTAGTATTTATGAGCCTTCTTGTGTTCCATCCTGGTCCTCTTCATTGTCCACATTTTACTTTTTTCTAGAAAGCATGAGTGGGGGTTGAAGTGGCAGGGTTTCATGTTAGAATGCACAAAGGAACTACAGTTTCTACTTCAAGGGATATTTTACCAAATCCGGTGTGATTCACCACCTGCCAATGCCTTTCCAGTAAGTGTAGTGATTTGCAGGGCCGGGCTTAAGTCCACGGGCCCAGCCCGTCCCGGCCCTTGTGGGTCCTTCCGGGCCCGGGCCCTCAAGAGGGCTATACTTATATATCCCTACTCTCTTTGTCTGATTTTGATACTGGATCAATTGGGTGGCCACACATCTCTCATACTGTAGTATTTTGATCAACTGTCTGCTGATTTTTATTTTTATTTGTCCCTGAGAAGGCCGAAAATTTCACTTTTGATTTAAGTGATTTTTTTTTCCAAGGAGATTTTTTGACAGTGTAACATGTAACGTGGACAGTTGATCAAATACTACAGTGCCACCTTAAAATGCCAATTCTATTTTAATGGCCACACTGACAAGCTTTCTCACTGGTGTGAGAAAGAATAAGAAAAAAGCAAGTGCCCTTCAAACTGCTCTAACTGCAACCAAAGGCTACAGCACAACTAGAAAACTATGACTATATGATGTGCTGTACAATGATTAAATATAGACAAACAAGACCAGACAAGTGTAAGGGCAACCCTGGAGACTCCGACGAAAGCGTAGCAGGGGAGAATCCAAAGAGAAGAAACTCTAAGGGTCCGCCTGCTGGGGCGCCAACTATATACTGGTCGTCCGTAACTGCCGCAGTACATACTGTAGCAATTTATTCAATTCGGCAGTCACTTGTCACACCGGCCCTCCGGCGCCGAAATATTTCGGGCGTGTCACGGGCCCACAGGCAGATGCTGAATGTCAAATGCCCATCAAAGCATCAAAAAAATTTTGGCAGCTCGCCAGGCCGCTAAATAGGCCAAAAAATTTCGGCTGTCACACACATCGACAGGCAGCACCGAAAATTTAATTTCGGCGCTGATGTCACACCATTTTGGGGCGCCGAATTGAATAAATTACTACAGTATAGCTGTATCTATGCAAAAGATATGGGCACTGTCCCAAGGCTCTAATGCAAAGATATGACTAATACAAAAATATATATAGTAAGAGAAATCACCTTTTCTTCACGCCGATGAGTCGCAATATAATATTTGGGACTTATAAGCCCAGGGCCCAATAAATTAATAATCGATTAAGTAAGGTTGATGTAGCAAGATATAGTCATCAAAAGCTCTGATGGCAATCAAAAATCGTTCCACATTGATCAATCTACTGAAATGCCATTGATCCCATCACTGATACCTTGATACAGCAGGCAAAAACAGTCAAAGAATATTATTTCATTTTATTTTTGGGCAGTTGCCCTCATCTTTTGCATTACCCCCCCTGGGACACTGCCCATATCTTTTGCATAGATACAGCTATATGAGCTGACTGCCGACGTAGAGCGCAGAAGGCCTGAGGGGTGTCACACGCTCTGTCCCAAGGTGATCGTTGGGAGGGTCTTGACAGATCGGTAATTGTGCGGGCAAAGGAGGCCGAGGACGAGGGTTGGGGTGGGTCAAAGCGTCCGAGGGGACGCTGGGCGGATGCGCCTCGGATACGTTCGGGCGGTCCGAAGGAGGCCAAAGCGGGGGTTCCCCTGACACTGGGCATGGTTCCTCCTGATATAAAGCATGGTGCAAACCACATGATGACGATGACTATGGACATGTTCGTGCCATGTGAAAAGACAAAACACAGGAGGAAGGGCACACAAATAACCAGGTCAGTGATGCATCCGAATGCACTCCAACCAGCAAGCAAGTGGGGCTTGCTCCTACGGCTGTCTCCAGATAGATGCAAAGGCAGCTCAAAATGTGCTCACACTCCCCATCAACTATAGGAAGGCACTTGATGTCACAGATAAGACCCGTCCCGTCCGCTCCGGAGCTGGTGTCAGGCCATCGCGGGCCCGCAACACACAGCACTTGACGACGGGGAACAGGCGCCCTAGTCGGAGGAACGCATATGTGGGAAGCACGTGACTGAGAACAACGTGTCGAGCCGTTGCCGAGCCCAACTCGACACCAGGGGACTGGGGAGGAGTGTCAGGAGGTTAGGAGTATCGCCTGGCCCGCAAGAGATGTACGATCATCCCCTCTGCAGCTAGGAACGCGGGTGAGGAGGAGCAGGAGAGGCCAGGGTTTCCGATCACCCCTTTGCGGGCCTGCATATATAAACACGCGATAGCATATCATGTACTCTATTGCTTAGATTGTCTGAAGAACTACTTCTCTCTGTGCAAGGAGGAACCACCGCCTCGACTACCGACAGCGACAAGGGACCAAGTTAATGGGCCCTTTCGGTTTCGATCCACCCTGCTTGCACTACTCGCGGGCCTGACAATTCGTCTGTTCTGTTCCGGGCGCGTGTTCTTGGGAGAAGACCTTGCATAGCCCAACCCGAAGTCTGCCACTTGAAGTTGCTCATGGGCCAGATTTTGACTCACTCTAGGGCTTTTTGTTAAGAATGAAATGAAGGTACAGACAATACTCAATGATTTTTTCATGTGAAAATGAGTGGTAGAGTAGAATTACTGAAATAGGAAATTTGTTCCCACATATTTGAGCTGGAATAATTCTACTGCCAGTGTGGACCTGTTGCCCAACATTATTCCACAAGAGTGTCAGGGGATGAGGGTCCAGGTGCCTAGTTGATACCAAAGCTGGGGGAACAGCCCCACAGCTAACTACCTAAGTACAGGGCTATCTGCGCACGGACCAGTCACGTGATCAGTCACAGCTGTCACATCACATGCTCACCTTACAATGAGCAATTTGACTGCGGATAATAGCCTCTTCATGACATCACATACCAGTGTCACATCTTATTGTCCAAGTCTTACCATATCAAAATTATTAATAGTCCTTCATACCTCTATGGACTTGAAGTGAAAAAACCTTGAAGCTTGAAATCATTCATTTTGCTTTTCAAAAATTTTCATTACTATGGTGGGTACTGGGCTGCACAGGTGACCTATACTTCAACACACCAAGCACGACGAGCTAGCTTATTTTGCTCCTTGGTCCACCTATATCAAGCACTTATGATGTAGTCACATGCAAATGCACAGCAGGCAGGATGGTTCAGGGCTCTATCAAGAATTCTAGGTGCCACACGGATAACCATGCGGTTATATGAAGCATTGTCCTGGGTTTCTGCAGTCCTTGGAAAGTGCCGTGTGAAAGCTCTGAAGTTGGATGTCTCTCCCATGGTGTAGTCTATGTAGGGCATCTGGTGGCTCAAGAAGTCAGGCATGTCACCACTGGCACGCACCTGGAGCTGTCGTGTGGAGTACACAGAACTCACACTCCATAAGTCTTCAAATGACCACTTGTTGAGCAGGATGTTGACAAGTTTCTCAGCCACCCTGTAGACTGTGATTTCCTGAATCTCAGTGCTGTGGGTCACAAGATCAGCACCAGAGGGCATACAGCAGATATATGCCAGAATTAATATGCTTTTAGTGTGCAGTGTCCTGTAAGGTAAAAACATTTAGACCTAATAAAACAGTGTGCAGTCAGTCTTACAATGAAACTGAGAGCTTGACTAATCCACTCATAGACACTGTGAGGAAGGCTGTTGGGAGATGGCACCCAGATTCACAAAGCTTAATCAGGAGCTCCAGCATTTGTGCTTGCAGTTGCGGCTCTGTGGAGATCAATAGCTCTGCCCAGATGGCTATATGTGCAGAGTTGTCCATCGATCGCAGAAGTAGTGCTGTGTCCTGAGCTGAGTCTGCTCTTCCATGCAGATACGCCACAATCTGGTCCTTGACAGCAATCCCCACATGTGGGACACTAAGCATATGTCAATCAACTATCACAAATTCACAGCCCAGCTGTTGCGCCGCTTACCTGAGATAGCTGAGGAGCTCCTCTAGCACCTGCTGTGTCAGCCCCCGCCCCCGATTTGCGGTAAGCAGCTTCGTAGCCTCTCGGCCGTACATAAGACGCAGCAGGGGCTTAGCGGCGGTGTGCAGGTTGATAGTGGGGCCAGGCTGGTTGGAGTCGGACCACCAGCTATAGATGCTCGATATCGTCGCTGTGCGCGGGGGCATGGTGGGGAAAGACAGGAATGGTACTGGTGACCTGGAATCCGGAATTAATCAGGCAGTGTTGATCAGGCAGTGTTGATCATCTCGAACATAGAAGTCAAAATACAGCTTTCGCAGATAGCACATACGACGATGCTGGACACCAGCAGCCGACTTACCGAATTCCCGTTCTCACCGCTCGGCCTCTTAGTGAGTTATAGCTACAGTTGAAACCAGTCGTAACATAACTGCTTGAATACTACATTTCCTATGCTTATCTCTCCCCTATATCCCACTGTTTATACCTCCACAGACTTACACTCACCCCTCGACGCCCTTCACCGCCTCCGCGCGCCAGCCCTTTGCGACGGGACACCCCTGTATCTCGCCCGCCATCCGCATCACCTCCTCGTGCCCGTCCTTCTCGTAGCGCACCGGGCCCTGCCCCCGTCAGCACCGCTAAACATAAATAAAAAAAGCGGGCGCACCATCTCGTGGATCCGGTACCCCGCACACCGGTACTCCGCCCTTGGCACGTCCTCGTACCACCCCAGCAGCACCAGCGCGCGGTCGCGCACGTGCCCGAGCAGCCCGCCCGCGGCCGGCTTGTACCACGGCAGCGACGTCCACCTCGCAGTCCGTCAGCCGCAGCAGCAACAAGGAGGAAGGGACTTACTTCTTGGGAAACAGCCGCGGCGCGACGCCGTCCACGAGCGGGGGCAGGTCCGGCTCGACGGCGGCCGCGGGCTTGTGAGTGCGCGGGAGGGCCAGGTACCGCTGCCCGAGCGCGATCACGCCCATCAGGGTGTTGATCAGCGGGGCCGCGTAGAACGGCGCTTTGGGTTGCCTGTGATCGGCCATCAGCCATCGGCGAAAAAGGAAGGGGAAGAGGACTCACATCATCGCAACACGCGTGCGCTCGTCGAGCATCGCACGCACAAAGCCCTCCGCGAAGGACCGGAGCCCGAGCACGCGCGGGACGGGATAGAGCAGCTCGCCGGTCGTGTATTCCGCGACGTCCCGGTTCGATTCAGCGGGGACCATCTTTTCCCGTTCGTAATCCTTTGCAAATACTCAGCTCTATATTTTGTGTTTTGTTTACGACGGGAAAAAGCACCTCGATCCATGTCCGGAAGGCCGCGGGCGTCTCGGGGATGTCCGCGATGTTCATCTTGCGCCCGATCTCCGTCCAGTACACGAATGCCGCCTGCAAAGCATCTTCGTAAGCGCGCGGCTGGGTAATACGGAGTTCACGCGCCTGTTTTTCGAGCTCGGAGTGCCGCCGCCAGCCGTACTTGTCGGCCCATTTCTGCGCGGGGAAAGCATCAGTCCGATTGCGACACGTTGACGGAATCAGATGGATAAACAGGGAAGCGGACTGACCGCAGGCTCGAAGAGGAACAACCCAAGCGTATACAAAAAGTCGTCGTTCGACTTGGGAAGCATTAGATTAACCCAAATGAGCACAGAGGGACGCACGATCTTATACTTGCTGTGCAGCCAGTTCACACGGGCGAGCGCAAGCGACGCGCGGGGGTCGTCAACCGGCGCGTCGGGCGCGGCGTCGACGAGCTTGCCAGCAAGAGGGCACGCGACCCACGTGGCTGGCACGGCTCGGGAACGTGTTTGTGGGGGAAGCGGAACACATACCGATGAGTATCTCAGTCTAAGATCAGTTAGCCTATTAGGCGAATGCGAAGAGCGCCACTTACGTCTGCGTAGCGCCGCGCGATCGTCCCAGGACTGGCAAGTTGCCGCGTCGCGAGCAGCAGCCCCGAGATTGTCGGCTGCGGCCATCGTCAACAAGGTGTAGAAGGAAGAAACTGACAACGCACGATGGCGTAGGTCTTGAACAAAGCAAACGCGAGCGAGTACTCAGATAGCTTCGGCATGTCCCACGCAAATGCAAGCTGCACAACCTCCTGTGCCTCCGCGGGCGTGAGCTTGTTTTCTCTTCCCTTGTACTTGCGGTGGATTGCGTTGTACCTTCGCCACCGCAACGCGCGCACCAGCAGCGCGTACAATGCAAGGGCTGCGAGGCCGGCCGTGGCCCGTCGCCGAAGGGGCGATGCAAGGAGGGGGCCGTCCGATGCGAGGAGGCGGAGGAGGGGCGCGGGGAGGGGAATAGATGCGGGGAGGGATGCGAGGAGGGACATGGGGCTTGGAATAGGGAGAGTGTGATCGGCCTGGACAACCTCTTTATATGGCCCCTGATTCAGTTAGTCCCCGTCTCACTCATATGACGAATGAGGCAGTCGCACCTTGGCCCACACCACTGCGCGGGCGGGCGTTTCACCTCCCCGGTTTTCCCGTCCTGCCCCACCCCGCTGCTCGCACCCCCGTCGGCCTCCGCTATGCAGCCCGCGTCGTCCGGCGGCAGCGTGAAGGAAAGTGGCGGGAGGCAACGGCAGCCCTCGTCGCCAAGCACACCCAATCACAATCACAATCACATGCCCGCACGTGGACGGTAAGCCGGATCGGCGCTGATCGGCCGCTCATGCTTGCGGCACGCGCACTGCGTCAGCGACCCGGCGAGCCGCGCACGCGACGATCTTATCACAGGTCCAGCGGGGCAGCGCGGGGTCTTACTGACGCTCGGAGATGCGGCGCCGCGCGGGAGCAGACCCTGGCGCATCCTGCTTAACCAGCGAGCGCCCGGGCACCGGCGTCTCTCGTACCCGATGCGTCAAGTGCAGCAGCGAGCCTGAAACCAGAGTCCAGATAAGCTGTCGTCGCCTTCCACGCTCAGAGCAGGTCATTCTCGGTTCGAAGTGGCACTGCGATTCGCGAACCACGCATCGGAGGAACGTCAGAGACTCGCAACTCAAAAACGCGCGACGCCGATCGCGGTTGGCAGGGCGACGCCGCACGGGAAAGGGCATTTGATAGCCGGAAATTGCACCCGAAGAAGAACCATCATAAACAATACTGCATTGCTTACAATTCCATACAGTCCTGTGAGAACAGGTTTTTTGGTAAAGCTGTGTTGTCTTTCCATATGGTCTTGGCATTTGCATCCTACAAAAACATATCTGACATCATTATTGATCCATCATTATCACAACCACACCTACACTTCTTATCCAACTTTGTCATCACCCTTTTGTCATCACCCTCATGTTGCTCTTATGGGTTGCAGATGGATATACTTTTCATGGAGCCTTGAATACATTGACCATATTCAATTCGAATTAGAGGGGCGCCAATCAGATGCGCTGTGGATGCACTCGGACAATCTACAGGAGGCTGAAGTGGAGGGGGTTCCCCTGATAGTCCTGCTTAATGTAAGCATCATCTCTATTGCTCCTCTGCCAAAATGAAGTCAGAAATAGGGTGCAATTCCCTGCAACTCAATTGTTAGCTACTACATTTGAGCTCCTCATGTACTACTAAGAGAAATCACTAATGAAGTGACAATTAAACTAATGATGTGTCCAAGAAGCACTGAGTACTGCTTTGAGCAAGGGTACGGCATAAGAAAAATTTAATTTAGAGAAGCCGAAGGCGATAAGGCTTTAAAGCTTTAGAACGCAGGGGAGGAGTCAGATGAGAGTGGAGAGCAAGGCAAGAAACGTTAATAATGAAACTAAAGTACAGGAGTGTAGAGTACGAGTATTATATACTAAGTGGTAAGCATAAGGCATATGACCTTGCAGGGAGATCCGATAAGGTCCGCAGGATGTCCCTGCTAGATAAGTACAAAGGCATAGTAAGTAAGGGGAACGAGAAGACATACACAAGGCAAAGGAAACAAGGCGAACGCCTAAAGGATATAAGTAAACAAACAAAAGTCTAAATGGGTAAAGATCCAAGTTGATAGTCAGAGGAGCCGAACAGGTCCGAGGGAGTCTGTGTGCAGATAAACTTTTTGAAGGGAAACGCTCAGATATCTTTATCGCATAAAAACCCTGTTGCACTCTAACAAAAACCTCGGAGCGTCCGAAGATGCATGGGATATGACACCTACAGTGGAAGGCTCCTCAGTGTGCTGCTGAGCAACTTCAAACTCAAGGAATGCTGATAACAGATAACAGACCTACCTGATCATACTTATCAACTCCATAGCTGACTGCCGAGGCTGCTTGGGGAGCCAGAAGCTGCCGCATTCGCTGTATTATGTGCTTGTGATCTGCATCGATAGTGATTTGTGTCATCATTGCGTGTTTTTTTATCATTTGGACAAGTGTGGTAGTAGACCTGCTGATGTGACATACCATCAAGATGGAACTCATCAGTATTGGGTGCCTACAAAAAGGCTTTGAAAAGCTTACATAGCAGTTGAAACAGATGAAAGATTTAGAATTTAGTGCCTAGATGACTACTAGACCACCTTTCCAAAAAGTGAAATAATGCCTGCTCCAACCCCCCCTACCCCATGTGTGACATACTATCCCGGCCTGCTAATCCGCAGGCCCTTTGGCTTTGAGTCATATTGACTTAATTAAAGTTGGAAAGGCTGTAACTTTAGAGGCAAGGTTCTGAAAAGCACAAGATCCTATATAGGTCTAGGACATACAACCATCAGAAGCATTCTCAAGCATAGCCCCAGTGTCAAACTAGTCCTATGGTGTCAAGTGTCATGCAGAACAAGGGGAGTTTCACTATAGCTAACAAGCCAGTAGCTGCCTGACACAAGACCGACCAGACCAGAGCAGAGTGGAGCGGTCAAGGACCATGGTAGAGTGAAGTCCAGTTGAAGGACAAGAGAAGAGAAGAGAGTTATTAAAGTCATTCTGCACAGAGGAGGAGTGCAAGTAATATTTATTATCAAGCTAAAGTACTATAGCTACTTTAGCTGTTTAAATACTAAGCATAAGTAGAAAGGAAAGACCATAAGTAGGTATAAAGTACATAAGTAAGTATAAAGTACAGAGTGCAGATGGAAAGTAACAAACAAGACGACATATGGAGATGTAAGTAATAAGGCGAACGATATATACAGGATAAGGTCACTAGAGCAACTAGATTGGAGGCTGGCAGGCAATGACTGGTCTGTAGGCCGAGGCATGTGATGGATGCACAGATATGACCTATGGGAACCTTTCCATACTAGTTCCGATACTTTGATAGCTTGTTGCCTGATCAGAAAGTGCTGCAAGGCTTTACAAACTCTTTCCTTTGCGCAACTATTTTGATGATGGTGATTATGTGTAAGGCTTCTCATGAGTGTCATGGATAAATACCTGTACTCTACCCGCAGGTAATTTAGGCTTCAAAACCAATACCTGCATTTGCAGCATCTGTGGGAAACGGGTACCTGTACTCATGGATACGGGTACCTGCACGGGTTATCCACAGGTATTTCTTATGAAACATCAGCATACTGAGGTATATTGACAATATAAGCAGCCTATATGGGACGTAGTTTCAAGTAATACACTGCTATAGACACCATAAGATGAGCATTGGGTGTTGGGTGTTAGAATACAAGAAAATTCATAGATTTGAGACATTTGAGACATAGTTGATTTCCATACTTGTTGATAGCAATAATGTTTCATCATAGTGTCAAAAAATCTGGAGCTACATGCAACCTCTTTACTCAATCCAGTTCAAGAGCCTGTCAATCATTTATCTAATTGCTATATCCCATTGTAGAAAGTAACTTATCCCATGAGCACAATGATAAATATGGAAATTGTGTACTTACCATTGCAAGGACATCAGGAAAACTCCATTCACCTGGAGGCCCTGGCAAGCCTGTCAAGGGGCCATGAAATTCTGCCATCAATCTGGCACGGCTGGTGCCAGACGTTTGACAGAATTCGACACCCTTTGCCAGAATCTGGCCTTGGAAAACTCGCTAAGTCCCCCATCAATCATAAGACATCAATTTGTTACTGATTTTTTTTTTTTTCCAGCCTAGTGACACCTGACAGATGGCGTGATTTTTCACGGCTTTCTTTCCTCCCACCACATTCCCCCACTTTTCCTCTCTCTCCTACGCGGCGCTCAGACCTGTTGCGATGTTTGTGGTGCGTGCTCCTTCCCTTCATCGTCCTCCAGACTGCTAACCTCCATCCAGGAGTCTCCCCTCTGCCGTCTTGTCCCTAAAAATTTGTATGTAGTGGGCCGTTTTTTCGCGTGTTTTGGCTGAAATTTATGGTGCAGACAACACTGGCGCCCGGCTGGGGCTGTTCGGGCGGCAGCGGCAGCGGCGGCGCGCCGGCACCTCCTCCATCCCACCCATGCTCCCATCTCTATTACCACGCTCCGGACTCATACTCCCACCGTAGCCGTAGCCCCTGCCGGTGGCCGAGGTCGATGACCTGCTGGTTCTCGACATATGCGCGGAGCAGCACAGTCGGGCGCGCATGGTAGGGGTTGGGTAGAATAGCCCACCGCCTTCGACACCTGGCCTCACGCTTCAGGTTGTGGTCAGAGGAAATGGGCTAGGTGAGTTGTTGCGATCTCTACCTGGGACACTACTTGACTTATTGTTCAAAGATGGGGATTGCTGTCATCGTTTTGGCTTTAGAGATTTCGGCGCACACGGCTGGTGATAGGTGAGTTGCCCGTATTGTTCCCTCCGACGTTGCCTAACCTGTTCCAGCCCAGCTCTATTGGCGAGGCGTTATTTGTCGCTGCTGGCAAAGTGTCAGGGGAACCTCCCTTTCGGCCCGGAGACGCGCCCGATTCCGGTCCGACTCCGGTTCCGACTCCGGTCCGGCCCTCCATCTCGCCCGCACAATCACCGATCCGTCAACGCCCTCCCGACGGTCGCCCTGGGACCTCGCCTGTGACGCCGCCCAAGCCTTCTGTGCCCGACAGCGGCAGCTACGGACAAGCAGTATATAGTCAGCTACCTAGCAGGCGGACCCTTAGAGTTTCTTCTCTTTGGATCCTCCCCTGCTAGGTCAGCTTCATTTGTATTCGCTTACCAATGTTCACGCTTTGGATCCTCCCCTGCTAGGACCTTGATCTCAGGCCTCCAGGGTTGCCCTTACAGCAGAAGAAACTCTCTACGGGATCAACCGGACAAGATTGCTAGGTTCGGCGCTGACTCAGGCTCCGAGTACGAGTCCGTTCCACCCTCATCACCGCCCCTGCCACTTGTCCCCTCCTCCTCTACTCCTGTGGTCCCCGCACCCGTCATGCCGTCCGGAGTCACTCCTACCGCAGACGCCCGGCTGGACTCACTCGAGGCGAAAATCAA